TGATTATATTTCTGTTGCATCTCCCTGTGAGCTGTGCGTTCTGGATTCTGTGAGAATTTTCATTACTGTCACTGACGTGTCTTTTGCACAAATGCTGGCTCAGCAGTTCAGCCTGGTTAACACCGATCACAGAGACACTCGACTCGTGTGAGCGTGTGCTGCACACCAGCGGTGACATAAATTGGGTGATTTTGGCCGTGATGCCAGAAATTTAAACTGCAAACTCCCCTCGACGATCAATAAACTATTTCTAATTCATGTTTTGAAATAAGAAACTCTGGACTTGGGTGTAAGCCTCTGAGGAGGTGGTGAAGTTCACTGTGTGACTTACGTACTGATAGTGATAGATCTGAGAATGTATTGATTAACCGAAGCTATAGGGAGAGAACAGAAACAAGTCATTAGCAGCAGATGCCTTTCTCTAAGGAATCAGCTTTCCAAAGCAAATCTCTTTTAATAAACCCCTCTAACAAACCTCCAACACTTTAACACCGTTAACATCTTTAATGGTCTGCAGTGATTACTTTTAGTTCAGGTCAGTTTCCGAGCTCAGCCGAATGATTTTTATCTCAGATTCTTGATTAAAATACAAAGAACAGATCGCTGCCGGAGGGGTTTTTCCCAAAAAATGTATCTCAGCTTGGCCATTCATGCCTCCAAACACGGCTTTTTTAATACCCCGTCCAGTTTGTATTTCCAATTCAGCGTGTCTCATAAATAAATATAAATTTATATTGAACCAAGAATCTTTGCAGCCTTGCCAAATCTAATGTCCAGCTTAGTTTTTTTTTTTTTCTTCAATACGAGATTCTGATCGCCCCGTGTCTGCTTCTCAAACTTCTAAAGTCTCTGCTCTACCTAAATAATGAAACCTAATGCAGCGGACAGTGATCAATGAGCACAGTTCTTCTGACCAGCTGGCCTTTAATGATTTATTGGCAGCAGCCTGTGAGACAGTCCCACACGGTCCAAAGGGCAGACTGCAGTTCACTCCCAAGCTCTGAAAGTTTTAAAACCAGTAGGGGACAGAGCACACGAAAGGTCAGAAACCCATTTCTCCAACTCCAACTTTTAAGGAAAAATAATCCAGATTGTGTTTTTTAAATCTTTTTTTAAAGGACGGGTGATCGAGTTCACTCAGCTTCAGAGGAGCTGAACAAAAATAATTCACATTTATGTCAGACCAAATTTACCTCTTTAAACAGGAAAACATATGACAACACATGCAGATATGACGTAAAACCGCGAGAAACAGAACTTAGTGTTGCATTCTATTCATATATTTTCCAAACTAATTGCATTATGTGGTTCATTTATGACTGTGCCCAAAGCACTTCACATTGTGGCCTTCACCAGCGAGCTAAACGTGTCGCATATTCATACCTGTGGCTCAGTGATGAACAGACAGGAAGCCTGTAGGCGCCTTACAGGAAAATCAAATTAAAGGAGTTTTTTTTTGTTGTTGTTGCTTTTTTTGCTTTAAGGAAATCTTCCTGCTTTGTGCCGTGAAGTAACACAGATGGGTGCTGTGAAAAAAAAAAGTGTTTAATTGCCTTAAACGTAACTGTTCAGGAGCAAACGGCTGAAACTCCACATTTTTATGTTTCTATTGTGTTTGTCTATTTTTGATCAGATCAAATGTGATGCTTGCACTGAGGCATAATGAACACTACAGTGATCATATGTTCAATTTATTTCTATATATTTGTAACAGTGTAAAATGTGAAAGGAGCTGCTTGTAGTGACAGATCAACCCATAAGCGTTTTAGCATATTTTAGGTAATTATTTACGTTTTACAGCCTAAAACTTCACCTCTTTCTTACAGTAGAGCTGGTGATGAAAGTGGAACCTCCAGCAGACGGAGATATTTTTTCTCAGTAGCTGTTAGAGAACTGGTTTTGCTTTGTTAGACCATTCTGTAGAACATAACGCTCTAGCCGGACCTCAGCATCATTCTGCTATAGGGGAAAAACACTCTGGCCTGTTTGTATTTCTTCAAAATGATAACGATCATAGCTAAGCGAACAATGCTACTTTGGTGTTTCCTCAAAATAGTGATGGGTGGAATTATTGTGGTGGAACATTTGCATGCAGGGGGACGAGCCCTGTAATTAAAACGGATAATGCACCACAAAAAATAAAAATAGGGCTTTACTGTGTGATCCACATCCTCTGCAAAACTTTACATTTTCAGTGGTGTAGGCTGTATCCCGTGGCGAACAACATGTTACCACAGACAGCAGAAGTAAAGACACAGCTGCCTGAAATGATTGGTGGATTTTAACTCCTTCCTACATCCTGTGAGTCAGACTAGTAGAAACCAAAAGGAGAGCCAAAAGGGGAACGAAAATCGGACTTGTGGTAGCTCAGGTAGCTAAAAAAAAATGACTCCAGAAGAAGGTTAATGCTGTTACATTTCTGTATAAGTGAGTATACAGTTATGTTTAGAGCTCGTCTGCTGCCCTTAAGTGGCCAAAGAACACAAAACAAATGCACTTCAGACCCAGCAACACTTTGGTTCACCTAAAGGATAAAACACCAAACAAACTGGTATTGTATTTGCAGTCCAATGCATCAAGGAGTACACACACACACACACACACATATACTAGAATATGGGAGGCACAATAGAACAGCTCCTAGACTTAGCAGTCTACCTGCATCTAAAAGACACTCTAAAGACAGTAATGTCCACTTTCTGGATAGAGAAGACGGATGGGTTGAGAAAGGAGTGAAGGAAGCCATCTATGTTGGACTGTAAACGGTTTCTCCAAACAGAGGAGGGGTCCATTACACCACTTATCAGGTACTTACAAGGCAGTCCTGAGCCCCCCTCCCCAGGCAGTCTGACCACCATTCACACCTCGAGTCATGTGAGTCTCTCTCAGGCTGTTAACGAGCCTTGTGAGTTGGGAGTGAGAATCAATAGGTGGGATTCCCCCCAGCCAGCTAGTAATGAAGAAGCCTTTCAGATGAACTGTGAAATAAGAGCCGCAGAACAAGTCCAGCTGCCTTCCATTAGAGCACTTAGGATTACCATGACTGAGAATCTACAGAGACATACCACCACAAAGGAATACTCTGCTGACCTTCATAAAATAGAGCCGCATAAAGGACTGCATTGAGACTTTGGCCTCACAGGGCCAAACGCAGATTCTGCTGGAATGGGTGTTTTTCTTTTTACTTTGCTGTGGCTGAGTGCGGCAATGGTGAAATGGCTGCACTTGTATAGATCTTTAGCTACATCCATTGTCACACAGGTGTCGTAAAGAGAGAGCACAACGACTCTTCTTCTTATGGTTTGATGAGCCGTTTTTCAGACCAACTTAAAGGTGAAACCTCCACCTACCGGACTAGAGCGTGGAAAGGAGAACACAGTTTGTGGCGGGACGGAGCTAAAATGTGGAAATATTTTGTCATATCTGCAGTGCAGAGAAGGAACGCACAATGGAGGATGGTTTTAAAAGAAGACAGAAATAGACACACGGTGCACTCTACCGGAGCTTTAAAACAAAGTTCATGAGGTAACATTAAGGAACATCTTGGACGCACAAATGCAGTTTTTTTGTAATGCCATGACAAAGTTTTTAGGTGTCAGGCATATAAACTATACTGGGTTGATTTTAATGTATCTAATGTACTTAAAGTGTCCATTGTTTGGGAACATTTTATCAGGCTAGACTTGAACTAGATTTGCAAAAATAAATAAATAACTTAACTTGACGTAAACAGTATTCCTCATTATTTAAAAAACTGACCTTTGTGTGTACAAACCACTGCATTACTGCTTCAAAAATACAACAACAAGTACTTTGCTTCACACTTGTTTAGGTCCAGTATCCTGCACCATCAGAAGGAGAGTAAACGTTCCACTAAGGTGTGAAAGACAGAAACTGCTCTGACCTGATCGGGAGTCCAGCAGAAACCGTCCATCTTCGTTTCCAGAGATGATGCGGTACACGATGGGATCCGGCCCGCCGCCGTCTCTGGTGAGCGCAGAGACGCTCAGCACCTCCGAGCCGACTGCCAAAGATTCGGGGAGCTGCCTGGTGTACTCCGACTTCAGGAAGACGGGCTGGTAGTCGTCCAGGGACACCACGTCCACCGTCACGGTGGCGACGGAGTAGAGGTGGCGAGGAAGGCCGCGGTCGGTGGCCTTCACCTTCAGCTCGAAGGTCGGCGGGGTGTCGGGGCTCAGAGGTTGCTCCAACCGCAGAATCCCCGAAAACTCATCCAGAGAGAAATAGCCACCGTCACCAGACAGGAGGGAGTACTTCACCTCTGAATTTATACCTGGAGCACAAAAACACAGACAGGTAGGATCTCAGAAGCTATTAAAGTCTATTTCATTTACTAAAGTCTTAAATCTTGTTTCTCGGCTTCTCTGGGCTGCTGTAATGATAGTTTGAAACACTTCTGTGTTTGATGTTAGACGCCTTTAAAGTCAACGTGGGATTGCTGTGCTGTAGGAGGCTGTTAAGTCTGTTTTTTTGTGTGTGTGTGTGTGGATCAATTAATCATTTGAATCAATTAATTCATCCATTTTCTGCCACTTGTCTAGGTCTAGGTCGCGCTAATTTAATCAATGATGTAATTAGGAATTACTGTTGCATACAGCTGGAAAGTAAAGTGAAAAATGATGCAGTAATAAATAATGCTGGGTCACATCTTAATCCCAGCGCGTTTCCATCATACTTTCATTGTGTTTTAATGCTGATAAATGGAGATTTTCACAGGAGCAAAGTGCTGTGATTTTAATTCACTTTGAAAAGTGCCTTCGAGGAGATGATCAGGTTAAATAAGCTGACTTAAATGGATGTGTTGTTTTTCTTTTAGTCGCATAAATAAGGAGTTTCATCTTGCGTAAGTCAAAAAAAGTTTGTTCCACTGATTGTAGTTAAGTTTGTGTTACTAAATCGAGCCAGTTAAGCTTGTAGTATCACATAGATGTGTCCTGGCATTAATAAACACTGTCAACTACTGAATTCATGTTGGTCAATGAAGGTAGCAGAGCATGAAAATGTGAATTTTCTGCTTTTCTGCTTGAATGTGTAAAATCTTGTATATATTTGTCTTATTATCTCGTTTTATTTTTTATTAATATTTATTGTATTTTATTTTATTCTTTCCTTTCTGTAGTTATTTTACTTTACTTTATTCTTTTAATTTTCCTATTTCTATTATTCCTGAAAATTCCAAGGGCGACACCAACAGCCGAAACCAAATTCCTTGTATGTTGCGTACGCACTTGGCCATTAAAGCTGATTCTGATTCTGAATTAACTCCATGTTGGCCACATAACATTGGAATTACTAACAGAGTCGTGCTGATTGCACATTGTGTCATCTCAGTGGAAACTCTATTTGGGCCGGTGGGATTTTTTAAAAGGTACAAAACCCCCAATGAAAGTCCTTTTACTTTGGTTTTTTGTCACGTGACATGATTTAAATATTGGCACTGACAGACAAGCCGCTGCATGACACCCGGATTCTTTCATCCAGGAGGAAAACCAGAGTTACGCAAGGCACTGCGACTGTTATCAAAACCACATCTGGGTTTCTACAAGATGTGTTGATGAATATAACTGAAGATGCAATGTCTAAAAACAGGAGGGAAAAAAATAACGTATGACTTTCAGCTCTGTAATAAAACTGTTAGGGTTTTAAGTGGCAAAAACATGTCAAGACAATTACCAACTGTTGCTACACAAACAGCTGTTGAGCATCAAAAAAAAAAAACATCTGTGTGCACATGTTTACCGTTAAATGTGGCAAAGCTTGAAGGGACAACACCTCCAGTTACTGTTTTAAAGCGGGAGTTAATAAAATTGAAGCCTGCGTGAAACTACTGGAAAGCAGCACGAGTGTCAATAAAGTTTTATTGTCTTGGTTTAGACTAAAGTATTGCACAGATGGAAACTAGAGCTTTATTTTTAGGCCCTGCAGGCAACTCCTAAATCCACCAACATTGTGCTAATTAACTGGTAACACAAAGAGAGCCATAATCTTACTGAGGTCATCACGTTAATATAACAAGACAGTAAAGAAAAGCTGCTGTTTTCTCTCTTTTTCTAGAAGCAGTTTTTCTTTTCCAGGGCCAAGAAAAAGAAAAAAATCTTGAGCAGTTCACTCTGTGCTGGAATCCACAGCTATCAAAAAGGCGGCGGCTCAACTTGTGATAAACCAAACAGGTTAATCACCACCTTCACCAGAACCCTCGTTAAAAATCCCCTCAGCACAAACCTGCAGCTCTCACCAACCTGCGGGGTTGAGTCGAGCAGGCACTTTTGTTTTAAGAGTTCAGGAGCTAAAAAGCTCCGCGAGTGCAGTTTTAGGATAATTGCACAGACTAATGGGAGTGCCGTGATTAAAGGTCAACATTTTTACCTCAAACAAAGCTTGAACAAACAGGTGGATTGACTCTGACAAGCGTTGGAAGGGGAATGCATTTTTAAACCGTGCACAAGAGTTTAACAAAGTAATTGGCCTAAAGATGGCACGGCTGTTAAATGCTGAGAGGATGAGCAGGTATTATTTTCTCTCTTTTCCTCGTGTTTCCTGATTCCCTCTGTCAAAAATTTACGCTCCAAAAGTTTCATTCTGAATAAAAATGTCATCTGTGTGTCATCTGATGTCTGCAGTTTGTTTTCGATTCATTTATTTGGCAACTAAAACACCCAAGAAATGAAAAAAAAAAAAAAAAGAGAGAGAAAAAGGTTTGAGTCATTGTTGTCTGTGAGAAAGTTGTCAAGAGGACAAGCTGCTGCACATCTGAAGGAGTGGCTGACCTGTTCTGTCTCTCTACCCGAGACTGCCAGAGCGCCGACCTGTCTGAATCTGTCCAGACACATGTGCGTACCAGCTGCTGCGTGGCCACAATTTGTATTTGTGGGTGTCTTGTTTTTTTGCACTTTTCCCAGTGTGTAAACTGTAACTATTTAAGTGTGCTCGAAACCGCTGAGCTCTTGAATGGCACATCAAACGCCACACGCGCCTGCACCGACTGCACTCTGCAGCCGCTTTCAAACGAGGAAACCGTGACTTTTATCTGACTTTACTGTTCCAGCACCTAAAAACCGAGCAGCGATCAAAGGCAACAAATGAATAAAACATTCAGACGCACTGCAGTGGAAATTTGCACCAAACTGTGCTTAATCAGAAGAAATTGGTTCACATTTGCTTGGCATTTGTTCATAGTTAAATCACTGAGGTGAATAAAAAGCGGTGCCCTAAAACAGACAGAATATGAAATGTGCAGATTACAAAAATAACAGATACGTGTGAATCACAAGGGATGCTGTTGGTACAGAAATGAAGGCGTGAAGGAGCAACACAAAGGAAACAAGGAAGAGATTGATGAGGGAGTGCTGGTTATTAGTTTCCCCACTACAGGAATGATACAGAACTTTTGTCAGCTTGGCTCATTTATTATGTAACTCGAGGGAAGATCATTTGTGTCTATCAGTGTGCGTTTCTTATTAACATTTAAACTGGGTTGAGATCACAGGAAATTTGGCTCTGATACGATGCTCGCTGTGTCAAATTGGTTGTTTCTAGAGTCTTTAAGTCCTGACACGTCGTCAGACCCGGACTGATCGTAGCTTGCCATCTTTCCTACTTGGGTAATATCGGTGGGAAGGAGGGGGGGATAACACAAAACAATTCAGAAAAATGTGAGTGTGAGAAATGAATCTGGAACAACTGATGTGTTGTTCTTAACGCCTAATCCTGGACGGCTGATCTAAACATTCTGATGCTCGTCTTGGTGCAACCGTGTGTGAACAGTCAGAGCTGCCGTTTCCAAAACTGGACGTTGCACATTGGGTCAGGAGCGCACCGAAAGCATGCTCATTACTTTCTTCCACGTTCGTGTTGTTGTGCGCTGTGAATTCTCCCCCAGGAGTAGACTGCCGTGGCAGACTCGTGCTACGTCCTGAGGCGTGTGAGTCAGAACATCTGGTGAAAAATGAACTGAACTGTGGCTCAATGGCATGCGGATGCTGTCACAGCACGATGATTACGCACCGTTTTTTTTGTCACTCTCCACATGCCCTACCTGCCAGATTTGGCTCCCTGTGATTATTTGCTCATCCCCAAAATTTAAATTCAGCTTGAAGGATCGCCATTTTGACATAGTTTAGGAGATACAGATGGGACTTGACGCGATCAAGCGTTGCAGGCACCTTAGAAGCAACTGTAGCGCTGCAGTGCAAGACTATATAATAGCTAATGATTAGTTAATAAAGAACCAAATGGAAGATATTAATAAATTATTGGGTGATCATTTACTTCATTATACATCCAACTTTATAAGAAGTGACTAACCAATTCAAACAATGAATGGCACAGAGCTGTGGCTACTCATTCAGTTCTGTCCCTGTCAGTGCAGTCTGAACTCGGCATTTAGCATCTGTGTGCAGACGAGGGAACAATCTGTTCAGTAATCTTGATTATTACTTTTTTTCCCCAGCAGTGTGCAGAGGCAATGACTCCTAATGTTTTTGTTATGCTCCTTCCTTCTCCATTATTTCTATTCTTTTTTTTATTAGGGCATACATAACAGTAATTTAGTGAGTCCAAAGCAGCTAAAGAGGCCATAACATTTCACAAGAAGCATGTCTAGCAGAAAGAACAGATATAAACCAGTGATGTTCAGCTACTGGAATAATGTCTGCATTGTCTTACAACCAATAAAAAGTTTTTTTGCTCAGATTTACAGACTTTTTAGTACATTTTTTGGGGCCATTGCAAGGACAAAACCAGTGAGTAGTTTTCAGATACATTTCTTGTTATTTATAAACTTCCCAGAGTTTTAAACTTTTACATTTTAGCCCTTTCATGAACAAATCTTGTGTCAAATGAAAGTTTAGCATATGCAGATCATAAAGCACAAAGCAGAAGAGCAACAAGTGAAGGTGTGGGCTGTGCAAAGTGCTGATCTTAACGTGAGCTGTGTCCACACAAGACACATTTTTACACATTCTCCATGAAGGAATGATTCAAATTTGCATTAAAATTGACGTGCAAAGACCCACGACAAACAGAACAGCAGAAACTGTAAACAGCATGTAAACCAGACAGTGTTCTACAGCACAACCTTAATGTATCGGCAAATTTATATTCACATGCCTGACATGACACTAAGCAGCGACTGGTAGCCGGGACACATCAGGAAATGCACTAATAAGCCAGGAAGGGACAGGGAGGAATAAGGAAGCAAATATGCATGTAAAAAAAAAAATGCAGGCTTCAGACTAATCAAAATTATTGACTTTGCAAATGTAGTATGAGGACAGGAGGTGCATTTTAATACACTGGTGAAGACAAACTAACAAAAATAACCGTTGAAATCCACAGGGTAAAGTTTTAAGTCAAATACCAGGAACATTAGGGTGAATAAATATCTTTATACTGGTAAGACAAACAGTTTGATTTATTGACTCGCTGTCCTTTCCTTTAGTGCCACAATTTACATTTAAAATGCCTCCAAAAAGGAAACACTTGCATTTCAGCATCTGGAGATGAATGCTGATTTTAAAACTGACAGAATCTACAAAATGTAAAACGACTGTGACCTCTGATGAACGGAGCGAGGTGCTAATGCTGCCAGGGTTCAGGGTTAAAATCCATGTGTAGCAAATAATTATCAACACAGCTGGAATGACACAGTGGAAAGGTATCAGGTGGGTGTTTCAGAAAAAGCAAAACTGTTAGGAATGGCTTAGCCTCTTATTATGTTTGTGATCAGTAAAACCACATTCATACACGCACACACTGTAAACACACGGAGACAAGCCCGTGCATTAGGCTTTAATAGTGTAAAAAAGGATCGCTGATAGCAGGACTAAAGGTTTGTCACAGCATGTTCTAACCTGAGAGAAACAATGAAAGGTTCTGTACAGCCTCATTGTCTCAGTTACATGCTCGCTGCACTCGGAGTGATATTTAAAGCCGGCAGCAGCTCACCTGTGTCTGGGTCTTTGGCGTATATGACAGCGACCGGCGTGCGGACCGTAGTGTTGTCAAACACGGTGACCTCGTAGTGGCTGGAGGAGAAGTGGGGCGGGTTGTCGTTCATGTCCTGGATCATCAGCAGGATGTCGGCCTGACACGACCGGCCGCCGCCGTCCGTCGCCTTCGCCACCAGGTTGAACCCGACCTCCTTCTCGCGGTCCAACACGGCCAAAGTGAAAAGCTCCCCTGTGAAAAGACGGATTTAGCAACACTTCCAAGGACAAACAATAACACAAGTAAAACACATTTTACTGAGGAGTAATATCGTATAACTACAATTACCTTCAGCGTACTGTATTGGAGCAGCATTTAACGCTGCAACCTGGGATGCCCTCATGATCCTAAGACCAGACTGATCAAGACAAGATATCTGCACAAACCTAAGCATGATTCTTTTTTACATCTGCCGTCACACAGGTGTAGTAAATGTGAATACTTTTCCTAATGAGGGCAGCACTTTTACTCAGTAACTGACTAATTTATATATATACACACATGGAGTGCATTAGATATTTGTCCTGCACTGATATTGCTGTTTTAAGCTCCAGAGATATAATACAAGGCAGCTACAAATGGCACTAGGATATAGGAATGCAATCTTAATTTAACTCGACTTCACATAACACTAGTGCTCATTACATGTCCGAACACTCGTGTAACCCTGAGGATACTCTCTTCCTCCGGTCGCTACAGAATTAAACAGTGAGAGGCTCCACTGGTGTAACAACAAAGTACTACAGCGTCATCTAAAATATATGAAGTTTGTATTATCGAGGAAAATAAGTATCAGATGTCAGCAGATATTAAATGCTTGAATCAGGAGCAAAAGCACTTAACATCCGTAGCTGCCACCTTAATTAATTAACAGAGTAATATTACATCTTGATTGATCTTCTCATTATAAAATAAACAAAAAAATTTCATGCAAAACTTGGCATTGCGACTGGCCAGTGCATGTTAGCAGTTGTCATCACTACATGGCAAACAGGAGGACAGTGTTACTTCCATAGGGTGATTGGAAACTGCTTTTTTTTTTAAATTATAAATTCAGTCTTTGGTTTTACATGTGGACATATTAGAGGGAAATGTTGACCTCTTGGCCTAATAGCTCAGTCCTGGCCCACCAGCTGATTAACATTGCTGTGTCTCCATCCGCTCCGTCAGCGTGGCTAAAACTGTCTGATATCTTGCAGGCAATCAAGTGGCAGCGAGGGCAGGAGACAAAGATGTTATGACAGAAATAAAGTGTGATGGATGTCAGTGAGGTGCCCCTGAAAATAGGGCAAAAAGAAAAGACAATAGTTTTTGGCTCCTGTCAGTTCAGAGTGTCTCGGAGCAGCTGCAGAGGGCTGACGGTATCACCTCACCTACTCAAGCACTCACTTAGCAGAAGAGCGTGTTGTGACCACAAACAGACATCACCATACCTGTCCTGTGTTCCAGATGAAACTTGTCTGCGTCTTGACCGTGCAGCGTGTAGGAGATCTGGCCATTAGCTCCCACGTCTGGATCTGAAGCCGAAACCTTCAGCACGAACATGCTGGGAGGCGAGTTTTCCATCACTACCTCTGTGTACACCAGCTGGAACGAGAGGATAATAACAATAATCAGGCCTCCATTTGCGTAGTGCTTTCTCGGTCACGCTGCTGAGTCTGAGTGCGGGATAAAAAATAAAATAAAATCATTAATAGCAGGACAGCTACTGAGCTTCAGTCGGCAGTCTAGAGGGAGAAACGATGAGCTTAAAGAGTGCTTAATATGTTCTGTTCTTTTAGTGCATTATAGAGCTGCTTTCTGTACATGTGACAGATCTTATAAATCCCAAAGTTCACACCAAACGACCAGAAACCATTGCTTCTTACCCGCCTGAAGCGTCTCATTTACCACTATTGCATAATCCCTTTCCAGCAGCTAGTTTGGGACATACAATGAGCAGCATCGTAGCACTTATTTAGTCAGTGCAGACAAAAAAATAAAAAATAAATTCAACCCTACAAATGAGTTCTTTAAACATTTTATCACTGGTCAGTTATATGTTGCAGTTTGCATCATGAGGCGGTTGTGATGCAGGGGTGATGGTTTGAGTCCCATCTCTGAAAAAAAAAGCCCAACAAGAGATTTTTAAAAAAAAAAAAGAAAATCACAGTACCATAGAATAACGTGAAGAAAACGTTTGCAGTAAGAAAATATCTGCATTATGCACACTTACTGCCCTGTCAACTTCAGTTCAAATCAGCCCCAGAAAGACCATAAAGCTGATCACACAAGTGTCGTTAAATTTAAAATTACAAGATTAGCTGAAGAATGAAGGCAAGTGTTGACAGTTGTCTATCTCCAGTGCTTTAGTGAAATCTGAGCAAACTTTTGTAAGTTTCCTTTGGTTTGTGATCAATTCTACTACACTATTTACAGCCATATATATATAAAAGGAGGCTAAATAAGCTGTTTCTGCTTGACAAAGTGATGCTGGTGCTACATTTATATCTTTAGACTCGGTGCACTTTCCTCTCAGAATTGATATGGGCACAATATTGCAGAATAAATTCAGGAGTGAAGACTGCTGGCGCTGCAGATTTGGATGAATGTATTCAGTTCCAAACCTGGAACAAATTATCTGATGAAGATAGAAATAGTCCTACGTGGGTTAAACTAGGGGAAAGTTTCAATTTTGCGGCCAGATATTGCAATTAGATTTATGATATAGTTTTTTTTTTTTTTTTTTAAAGTAAAGCTTCAGTTCAACATTCACTGTGTAATAGATTCAAATCATGTGATGGAGCATTACCGCAAAAAGATACCATCAAAAGTGTGCACTGCCACACAAGGAGGACGGCATGAACGTGACCGACACCACCGCTGAAATCCTGGATCACACGCACTGCAAATGCTCATCCTACATTGCAGCCTTTGTGATTTTGATATGAAATCGATCACTTGTTTCTGCCCTTATGCAGTGCAGGTTGGTGGAGGATGAGCAATACATCATCGTGAAAAGTAATTGTTTTCATGCATCCTTAATGTTTTCTTCCCTAAAACACACCAATGATAACCCAGAGGTTTCAGGAGGCACCGTGAGGCAGGCAGGGTGAATTATTGCTCAATTTACTGAAAACATGACATCGAGACAAGTCAAATCTTTTCTTCTTTTTTTTTTCAGGGTGCCCTACGGTTTGTTCTGCATGTAATAACTTCCATCCTCAGAGCTTCAAAGATAGTAAAACTCCCTCAAAAGCCAATTTTCCAGACATGTACTTGATTTTATGTGCACAGAACGTTATTGGTAAATCAGACGTGTAAAAGATGGCAATAAAAACCCATACTGTAATCAGCCTTTACTGCTCGCGGTGGCAGAGACGTGAGCATCGCTGTTGTGCTGCTGCAGTGAACTTTATCTGCATATGAACCATTGAAGCGACTCATCTCGTCCCTTACTTGTTCACACAGCGGAGTGTTGTCATTGATGTCCAACACGTGGATGTCCACAGTAATTGGAGCCTCAAACTTTCCGTCGGTGGCCATGACTTTCAGCGTGTATCTTTCTTTGGTCTCCCTGTCCAGACTTTCCTTCACGATCAAACCCCACTGGCCCTCGTCCTCCTGCACGATGGCAAACTGGCCCAACGGGTCTCCATCTGTAGGAGCAACAGACAACTGAGATGAAGGGATAGGTTCCTGTTTTGAAGTGTTTTCAGGGAGACATGATACAGAAGCACAGCAGGAGCTTCTGATGGGATCCTGAAAACCTTTACATCAGTGTTCTCAGGCACAAGTGATCGTATCACATGTCGCGTTTTGTCAGACAGATCCCAAAATACCAAATTTACTACAATGTCAGACCAGGAAAACACAAATTCACACACTTTTAGAACCTAGAAACAGAAACTGTTCAATGTTCTTGATTTAGAAAATGATCTAAATGATTAATCGGTTATAAAAAAAAAACTCACAGGTTTAGTTTTCTGTTGGTAGCCTATTCAATAGATAGATACCTTACTAACTTTAGGCCAAGAAACACAAATAAATCAATACATAAGTAAATGGTAAAGTAAGTGTGCTTGCAGAAAGTGCATTAATAGATCAGAACACATCTTAGTTTTGTAGCTGTTTACTACAAAAGAGACACTCGAACATGGTCTTTTATAGATGGGTGCTGAACTGTTGTTAATCCTAAGTAATTGAAAATAACCTTTATGTGTCCCTGCATGTAAAGCTTCAATCTAAGACACATCAACGATCCTCCGTGTGTAAACGTGTACCAGGCAGGAACTCAGCACTGCCTTTAATTTTGTTGCGGTATTTAGAGATAAAATCTTTTCTGTGTAGTCGGGAAAAAGGTTGGGACCAAAGTAATATCAAATACATGTTGTTGTAGTGCCTTGATTGTGCCAAATGCCTGTTGTGTTATCTCTAACACCATATTTCTCTTTGATTAATAGAAGGTATTTTTAAATTCCAGTTACCAGTTTCGTTTCAATGAATAAGTCAGTCGTGTCTTGTTGCCATCTCCTCCTCTCCATCTCCCTTTGAGGAGGGGGGTTTTAGACTGACTCACCTGGGTGCTTTGCATTTTCTTTTCTCTTTCAGGTCAAAACATCTTTCCCTGATTTTCTTCTAACCATGCTGCTAGTATGGGTTGCTGAACATGGCTATCAGTCGGCATGTGACAGCAGATTGCATCGCAGTCAGCCGCACACCTTGTTTGACAGGTGATGTGCGCAGATGTGGCGGTTACAGGAGCCAGCTCAGTGAACACATGCTTCAACCTCAAGAAGGGAAACTGTTCTCTGCAGCTGTTCAGCCTTGATGCTGCTTTTCTTTGACAGAGACAAAACAGCAGAGAACGCTAGCGTACACAAACAGCCTGCAGCGCTGTAAGGAACCGACGTATCGCTCATGTGATGTAAATACATGCAGGCGGACATTATTAAAAGCAGAGGAGGAGGATGTCATGCACTGCAGCTGAACTAATGAAAATTCTTGAGGGAGTTTTTTGTATTGAAGCTGTACTTTAATTTGCATAATCTAATCTTTTAATGTCTGCAGCAGCTGATGGCCTTTTTTTTTTAAAGCCAAAAGTCAAAGAAAATTATCTAAACAAATCTGAAACAAACTAACTAATTACACTCACACCTCATAGGGTAGCAAATATAAAGCTGATTGTTCCGTTCTACACCAAAATAGTAATAAACTGTCTTAAAACTTGCCTAAAAAATGTCACACAACCAACTGTGATTAAAATGATATTAAAAAAAAAAAAAGGTTGCGGCTACCACTGAGGGCCCCTGAGACACATATTTGGTATTGATTTTGAGAATTTGGGGGTTTTACACAACCTGCAGAGAAACACACAGCTGTACACAAACTCCACAGGTTGCTCTTTGATTCTTGTATTTGTGTACGAAGAATTTTTTACAATGTGAAAATATTTTCGAAAATAGATGTAATTGGTTTTGTGTAATTACACGTTTTAAAAAAGAAAAAGAAAAAGAAATGTAAAAACATACATATAAGAGAATTGTATAACCCTTTTTGGTAGTTAGAAAGCAGATGAAAAACTTCTGAAAATGCCAGCAAAGAAATGTGTTTCGTGAGGAAACTCTGGACTCTTTGAATATGTAAAATCCTCATATCAATCATGCTGGTGGTGGACAGCTTTAACATCCAACATTTGTTTCTGTTTTGTTTTGTTTTGCTTTTTTTCCGTTGTGACAACCAAGTTTTAACATCAGCTGAACCCTACCATTATGAATAATTCCAATGTAAATACTCCCCTCTTACAAAACACACTGTTGTGACAGAGAGCTCCTTTAGAAGGGTTTAGCTGTCTGGGGGAAAACAGAGGATTTGCATTAGATCGAGGCTTTTGTTTTTGTTGTTATCTGCAGAGCATCCAGTTTGTATTCTTGTCTTGTCGTCCTACTCTTTGTGATTAATCTGTGGCTGAATAGCATCACGACTCCACTGAGGACGAATACCATAGATTTTATTTCACCTCATTAATGTCTTGATAAATCCCACAGCGCAGCAAATCTTCGGGACAGTAATTTCGCTGATAAACACATGCACAGTCGCTCTCACAGATAAGCACACAAATGCATGATCACAAATGAGTATTGTGACACACAGCTACAGTTCTGAGCACACGTACAAACTTACTGAGCTGCACACACATCAGAAAAACAAACCCATGAACACACACTTATAAATACACATACAGACCTGTGATGTAGCACGTCACAAGGCGGTTCTCCAGTGCCACATCAGCATCTGTGGTCGTCATGGAGACGATGGGTGCAAAGGGTGTGCTGTTCTCAAACACCGAGCCGCGGTACACGTCGTCGGAGAACTTTGGCGGGTTGTCGTTCTCGTCCGTCACCACCACCTCCACCAGGACGCTGGACGACAGCTTGACGTCGCCGCCGTGGTCAGTGGCGACCACGTTGAACCTGTAGAGCCTCGTCGCCTCACAGTCCGTCTCCCGCAGCGTGGTGATCCAGCCACTCTCTCCATCAATGGAAAACACCTCGGCGATGTCGAGCGTGGGGTCATCAGGTAACGACTCTAAGCTGTAGGTCACAAGACCGTTGGTGTCTGTGTCCGGGTCATTGGCAGTGACCTAAGAGTCAAGACATACAATTAGTTGTTGTACTCCTTACTCCGAACTTTTGCATATTTGGTAAATACACTGCTGTGTCATGTTACTGGCAGTTAGATGAGAAAATATAGATCTTTTTTAATCTAGGCTCAGTAGAGACAATGGTGCAGGATGGCTAATATATGTTAAAGCATAAGTTCAGTGTAAGACAGAAGGGAAAACAGGAAAACTTCCAGATAATCTGACTTGTGAGTGCTGCTGTGACACAGCGGACGTAAACAACAAAACCGACACTGATCAGTAAAAACTGCTTTCATCAGGATCGCTAAATCTCCACCGTATTTGTTTATATGCAAATCCTGGTGATGGTAGCTTTGGAGAAATTTTGCTTTTTGTTATGTGTAGTCATGAAAACTCAACATTTTAGTCAGAATTAAAACAAGAAGAAAGAAGTCTTTTTTTTCTTCTTCTTCTTCTTCTTCTGTTTTAACTGCTGAATGTTTGTATTGTTTGGTCTGACAGTTTAAACAATATTACAAACTCAATCTTCAGAATTCACGGCTGAAGTTTGACAGCAGGGAAAACTACTAACCTCATGAAAAAGAAGAAAAAAACGCACCTAGCAACCTCAAGGAATATCTTCTATTCATTTCTCTAATTGGCTGGCAATCTCTTAATCAGTGAATCGAAGAACTACTTGAAGTTTGTTTATCGTTCAAAATGCTACATGGGATCAGTAGGACAAGCCACTAAATTCTCAAAAACGAATGTCTCGCTAAGTCATGGCTAAAGGTTTCTCCATGGCAATCTGTACTTCCACTTCCTAAAATCTACTGGCCTGCTCCATCGTGATTAATGTATGCTACAAACTAAATGCAAAACTATGAGCTACAATTTCAGACTAAATACAACCATAGCTCACCAAACTGCAACATTCAGTGGCACAAGCCGAACCTCTAATGCTCTGAGCCTTCATGAAGTATTGCCCCCCAAGCATGGATTTTTGGAGGTAAAACTATCTTTAGTAACTCTACTATAGACCGTGGCTCCTCTGGTTGAAAAATAAGTAAGAAAAGTTCCTGTAGCAGTAAATAAATACATAAAAACTTTCAGCATCTCACCTGGATAACAGTGGTTCCAGCAGGCATGTTTTCTGCTAAGAACGCTCTGTATGGACTTGCATCGAACACCGGCTGGTTGTCGTTCACATCCTGAACCTGGATGCTGACAGACACCAGAGAGGCCACATCGGTCCCATTGTGGTTCCCCTGGGCGATCACATCTATCTGGTACCACTTTGTCTTTTCGTGGTCAATGGTCTTCTGCAACAGCAAGGTTCCACTTTCTTTGTCCAAGCTGAACACTCTGTCTTTGTTGCTTTCAACTGTGTTCCCATTCACCAGGCTGTAAATGACGGGCATGTCAGAGTCGGCCCTCACAGAGCCAATCTCTGTCCCAATGGAAATGTCCTCTGCAGCTGAGAAAGTGTAGAGAGGCTCAGAGAACTTTGGAAGGGGAACCTCAGGAGGAACCACTTTCACCTGAACAGGGACTGTGGAGTTGTAAAAAGGGAGGCTTCCATCACGAGCCTTGACTTTGAAATTGAAGATCTTGTTCTCCATGCCAACAAGACTCTCTTTGACACTCACGACTCCAGTGAAAGGGTTGATCTCGATTATGTCTTCTGTGACCTCTTCAGCTTCGTCCACTGTGTAGGTGACATCTGCATTTTTGCCATCATCTGCATCATAAGCCATGATTTGAATGACTGGGGCGCCTTTATTTACAGTTGACTGGATCGAAACCTGGTACTCTGATGCTTTAAACTGAGGCACATTGTCGTTCTCATCTGTGAGAATGATTTTGACAGTGCAAAAGGCCACCCTTCCGCCACCATCTTTAGCCATTACTTTGATGGCGATGACTCTCTGGGTGGGGTTTTCTCTGTCCAGTGGTTGAGTAGTGACAATCTGCCCATCTTTGCGGATGGCAAATTTCTCATCGGCAAGTTTGTTGATGATGGTGTAGTCAACGCTGCCATATGGCCCATCATCAGGGTCAATCGCTGCTAATCGGATCACACGCGTCCCTGGCTCAGCATTTTCAGCCAGCTCTGCTTCATAGATGTTCTGCTTGAAATATGGACTATGCCTGTTACTGTTGATCATGTCAATATTGACTGGTGCTGTTTTCTGAAACACTCCATCAGACACCGCCACAGTCAGGTTGTAGTGAGGATCCAGATTCTTCTTGCAGACATTAGAAAAGGAGATGATCCCTGAAGATTCATTGATGTTGAAGTACCGGCCTTCATTCCCTGAGAGGATTTTGTATTTGAGGTTGTTTAGGTCACCAGTGTCGGGGTCTGAAGCTTGGATTTTAATGACTATGTGGCCACACTTTGCCATTTCATCTAATTTGGCTTGATACTGGGAGCTATCGAAGTCTGGTGGGTTGTCATTGACATCAGTGACATTTACAAAAATTAAGGCCTCACTACTGAGCGGGACAGTCCCATTGTCCACTGCTTTTATTTTCAAATTAAAGTGCTTTTTCTTTTCATAATCCAGCACCTGTTTTGTAACAATCAACCCACTCTGAGGGTTTATCTCAAAAAAATCTGTTTCATCCTCAGTTGATTTAACTATCTGAAAGGTCAAGTCTTTATTTTTACCAGAGTCTCTATCAGAGGCAGAAACCTGTATCACAGAGGTGTTGATTGGAAGCCCCTCAGCAATGTTCACACTATACATTGGCTTTGAGAAAACTGGTGCATTGTCATTCACGTCCTCCACTTCTATTTCAATTGAGGCCTCTGAGAAAGCTCCAGTCACAGCATCTGTAGCTCGGACTGTCAACAAATGCATGGTTTCGCTCTCGTAGTCGAGGGGGTTGGTGACGGTCAGCACACCAGTTTTGAAATCAATGTGAAAGTGTTTTGAAGCGTTTTCCTCTTCAAGGTTGTAGACGAGTCGATAACCTTCCGGGTTCCTGGCCTGAACATGCAGGATGGTGGTGAATGGGGGCACATTCTCGGGAACTTTCAGTGGGTAAAGAAGAGTCTGGAAAACTGGGTTGGTTCGATTCCTTACTTGAATACTGAGCTGAGCCATGGTGCTGTGACTGGGCTCGCCTTCATCTACAGCCAAGACTGTCAACACATATTTGTTCAGCGCTTCAAAATCAAGAGGTCTTTGAAGGGACACATCGCCTACATCAGGATCTATCCTGAAGAGGTCATAGTCCTCCTCCAGTGAGTACATGATGGATCCATTCTCTCCCAGATCCCTATCGATGGCGGTGGCTTGATACAGAACATCTCCTGGTTCTGAGTCTTCAGAAATCATCATTGAAAAAGGCAAGTTAAGAAACTGCGGAGAGTTGTCATTGACATCATCTATAAAAACCTTGACCTGGGCTGTAGCTGTTCTGGGTGGTGTTCTCATGTCTTCTACTTTTACCACGACATCATAAACATCTTTATCCTCTCGGTCAAAGGATATACCTGTGGTTTCAAGCACGCCTGATGTCTGGGAAATTGCAAACTTCCCCATTGGATTTATGACAGAATATAAAAGAGGTTCATTAAAAAAACATCCTGTGACTTTGAGTGCCGCTAAAATTTTGACTGTCTTTAGGTTTTCTGTAACACTTGCTGAATACACGTTCTGTTCAAATGCAAGATCGCTTGCAGTTAGGTTTGTTACGTTTACTTTGATGGTAGCTGAGTCTTTGTAGAGGCCGTCAGAAGCTTTGACAAGCAGCTGGTAAAACGGCCTGAATTCAGACACGTTGTTCACAGTGATTATTCCAGTATTGGGGTGAATTGAAAAGGCATTGTGAAGGTTTCCCTGAGATATGGTGTACGAGACTGCCGAGTCGGCGTCATGGGCCATGACGCGCACAACCTCTGTATCTCTGACAGCTGGGAAGATGATGGATGGTTCATACACCGGGGTGCTGAATTGTGGCGGGCAGTCATTCAGGTCCAGGACACGAACAGTGACCTTGGCAGGCTCAGCTGCATACAGTGATGGCTCCCCGGAGTCCTTCACCTGCACCGTGAAGTGATACTCAGCCTTGGCTTCAAAGTCAACTGGTGAAATTAAAGAGATGGTACCCATACTTGAGTCTATCCTGAAGACTTTCATGGCCTCTGGTTCAAGGATGTAATACGTCAGCAGAGAATTTGAATCTCGATCTGCATCCGAGGCTTGAACAACCAGAGGAGTGTTTCTTTCTCCCATGACCATGCTGTTTACATGAGCTGACTCACTTATTTGCCCTAAGTACTCCCCCTGATGAAAAACGGGAGCGTTGTCGTTCTCGTCAATCACATAGATGTGGACAACTGTCCTGGACAAGGCCCCAGCTGAGGTGGAGGCTGTAACTTTTACCTTGTATGACTCACAGATTTCAAAATCAAGGTGCTTTTGGGTAGAAATCAACCCAGTGTAGGGGTTGATATAAAATGTCCCATTTGAATTGCCACTTTCTATCCCATAGTGCACTGAGGCCGGGCTGGAGGCTGACACGGTGACCACCGGGCTACCAAGAGCAGCTAATTCGCTGATCTCTGTTAGGTATTCATCTGAAGGGAAGGTGGGCGGGGTTCGGTCAGAGATGCGGATATTGAGGTGGACGGAGCAGAGGTCGCTGCGCTGCGGGAAGCCCTGATCAGTGGCCTTCACTGTGAGGTGGAACTGGTCCTGAGGCTGAAGGTCTAAAGGTTTGGAAACACTGATGGAGCCCAGCTCTGGATCTATGGAGAAGATGTTGTCGATGTTACCTGCAGGGAGAAAGGAAATTATATGTAGCACAGGTCCAAAATACATGTAATTAGATGTTTTGTTTATTAATCATTCTGTCAAAGATCTGAGGTCTGACTGCTAAAATCACATTATTTATTTTCTTGTCAGCTGTTAGAAGGTCGCTGCTTCCAGTCAAGAAAAGCCTGCATAACTCCTAGTACGGTTTTATACAGTTTAAACAAACCAAATGTCAGTTCGTGAGCTTCAAGGGGCTGGCAGGTGTATTTGTTTGTCTTTGCACTGAATCAAATCAAAATAAATGGATTTCCCACATATAGACCTTTTTTTTTTTTTTAACACGATGATAAGTTAAGTACTGTAAAGGTATCTGATAGTAGGTTAAGATGACTTGGTTTGCTGACAGTATTACCTTTTGCTGAGTTTATTAGATATAAAAAGTATAATTTTGTTGATGTGGCTGTTGGGATACAAACTAAGCAAACTGCACTGTCAACATTTATCCCAGCCATTTATTCTTCTTTTTTTTTTTTTTTCACTTGAAAAACAAAAGAGATCGTGACAGCTGAATCTCATAATAATAGTAAAGATGGATGTTCTTTGTTGGATAAAATACACTGAGCAGGCATAATGTGTTGTAGTGCAGCAGGCGGGGTCATGCACCCTGCTCTGTCACATATTCTCCCCACTGCTTTGATCACACATGATCAGCAACATCCCCTGGATAAATCCCACACTACTGCATGAGAATGCAACTTGTGTGCCCCAACTGTGCCACAAATCTCTCAGAAGGTCAAGATGTTTCACAGCAATGTTTGATGTGAGAAGCAAACACAAGACATGAGGAGGACTGAGGACTGGACGATGAAATTCAAATCGCAGATATCATCACTGCGCCCTTGAACCCTCTGTGTCGGTGGAGCTAAGCGTCTGACATTCAAAGGCTGTGGTTGTTGGAAGACAGTTCCCATTGTTCAGGAGTAGAAAACGGTGGTAGTTCCCAGGTGTGAATATGTAGAACTCAATGAATGTGAAGCAGAGCTACCCTGAAAAGGAGCAAGAAGCATAAATAAAAGATACAAATAGGCCCTTTGTTTCTCACCGGAGTGCAGAGAATAGCTGATGTCGGCATTGCTTCCCATGTCCTTGTCCAGGGCCTTGACCCGGATGACCTCGGAGCCCGTGGGGGCCAAGTTAGAGATGCTGGCCTCATAGCGGGGGCTGAGGAACGCCGGCGAGTGGTCATTACAGTCCTCCACGTGAACCACCACCTTTGCAAAGTTCCTCTTCACTGGTATCTCTTGGTCACGCACCTGAGGAGGAAATATTTAAGGGTTAAGACTCCTGAGGCTTTTAAAGTTTTATTTACCGAATCAAAAGAATTTAAAATATCAAGTCATGAACATGGTCTGGGTATTAAAGTATATTTTGTTTTTCCAGTTTAAACCAAAAATTTCATGCATGACTAAGAAGTCACACACAATTTTCACTTAACTAATAACATTCATGCCCTTATTAAGTATACTAAAGGTTATAGTAAATATAAAATAGCTGATTCTGAGAGGGTCCCTGGGAACGTTTAAGATTCAGTTTTAAATGGAATAACGTATACTTCAACAATTATAAGGCCTGAAAAGGAAGTGTTGATGAAGATCAGGAGACATGATGGAAAACTCTACAACAGCTACATAATGAAGCTTGTTCTGATCATGTTTTCTTTCATCATATGTTTATTTTATTGAAATTTAAGTTTTTAAATGGTTGTTTCTTTTTGAAGGTTTTGTACGTCCTGTAACTAAGATCTATTTGGCTCTCTTCTTCTCTTTTCTGCAGTTATTCCACTGATACCGCTACTTAGTTACCATGACGATAAGTGTATGAACGGAGATCATCTCGTAGTCCAGCTCCTCCGTCATCACCAGGACTCCGCTCTTTGGGTCGAGGTGGAAGAACTTGGTGCTGTTGGGATGCAGGCTGCTGTGGATGGAGTACACCAGCTTGCTGTTGGTGTCGGCGTCCTGAGCGCTGATCTGCAGGATGTCCTTCCACGGAGACGTATCCTCAGGAACCCGCACCTTAAACACAAATAGGGCAAAAAATATTCCATGGTGTGATTCATAAAGGTGGTGTAAGGACAGGAAGACGCAATGACGACGAAAAATTGCCACAGCCCTAATTTCGCAAGCCAGAGAGGATGCTGATTACAGTGATCAAGGAAACAACAGCACATGTTTGGGCTTAAACATAATAATTTCACTGAGAGACTTTTAATCAAATCTTATCTTATAAATCCAGAAAAGGATGTTGTTTGATCTTTTTCTGTAGTGTAGTATTTGTGAAACTGACGGTGGAGCTATTTCAGAAGAGGGAATGCCTCTCAGTTCAGCTCAGCAAGATTGTTTCACGACAGCAAGACGAGACTTTTAAAAGAAAAGACACTCCTATGGCAAGCTGTTTGAACATTTAATAGCTAAACCGAATGTGTAATGCAGATGCTCATAATTTAAATCAATTAGGAAAAACAGTGCAGGTATCCACAGTGCCATTTACCCAGACAGATGACATCACTTACACCATTCGTATGGTCTGCACATGGTCAATGGTCTTCACTTATAAAACTCCTTTCTACTTTAGCGGCACTCAAAGCGCCTTACAATGTGTTTCCCATTCACCCAATTACACACACATTCACACACCAATGGCAACAGAGCTGCCATGCTGCCATTTGGGAACAACTTCAGGTTCAGTGTCTTCGACATGTGGAGGGGATGGGGATTAAACCAGCCAACAATGCCATTAGTGGACAACCCGCTCTACCACCTGAGCCACAGCCGCCCATTCGTATGCTGCTCATTGCAAATTCAGCTGATGCCCAGAATGTAAAGTGCAAATTATGCAGCTGAATGAGGACAAGTTGTAACCCCAAATTCAAGATATCGTAGCTGTCAATTTGACAACTTGCTTCTCAAACAGACTATGACACTGCAACTGTTTTAGTACATTTTGAATCACAAGCCTCTAATGAATGAAGCTCTCGTTTTTCTGAAACTCCTTGCTTTCTATTTCACAGCATTTTCCTACAATCTTATCCACAACAGCTGCCACGACTACTTCTGCAAACCCTATTCAGACGCTTTGCTGGACCAACAGCCAATGGGAAGCTTTGCTCGAGCAGCATCACACACAACAACTCATTACTGACTAGACAAAACTGAATTTCAGATTCCTCTTTCGTTTTGACTGGACAAAATGGCATTGTTAACCCTATTCAGGACTTTCATGTTGCCATACGTAGAAGTTCTTTCAGGGTCCATTGGACTCCAAGAAAGAATATCCATCCATCCATCCATCCATCCAAATTTTCTGATAAGTTGACGTATTTTTGGTTCCAAATGCATGACCAATGTCCCTCGTTTTAGATAAAAACAAAAACAAAAAAACACTTCAAAAATAAAAAATAAATTAAAAAACAATACCTGTCACCTAAACCTAACAGCCTGGGGTCCAAAAAGACCTCAAAAGTCTTGAATAGGGTTAATGTTAAATCCATGTTAAAACGGCTGCCATACACAGTTCATACAGCCTTTAGCTTTTTATTGTCACAATTTCTGTAGAAAAATCATACTCCGACTAAAAGTCATAATCTGGTTAAATCTGAACACAAACACACATTAGTTATTGTTATCTTTGTCATCCTACACAACATCCATAAACTGACTTAGCAGTCATGATAAAAAGAGAGATGGTCTTTCACAAGGTTTGTCAGTATAAAGAAATCCAGTGTACGTAATTGAGTACAATGCAAACAGGAGCAGCTAATAGATGATTTATCTTTCAAAATGAGGCAAAAATAAATAAATAAATGATAACTAGATAATAAAAGGCTCTGTTACTTTGAGTGTTATTTGTTTTATAGTCAGAGAGAAGCTAAAACCCCTTGGAAAAAATGCCTAAGGACTTGTAATTACAGCATGCTGACACTACTTAGGTACTTTGCACACCTGGTTGTGTCTCTGAAAAACCTATAATTATCTGTAAAGAATGTCTTTTTGGGTATTATCGCCGTAAAAAAACAATTTAACTACTAAGCTGAATAACCCAAGTTTAGTATTTCAATGAGAATCTGCGTGATTTTCCTCAACTCTCACCTCGTACAGCGGCTTCAGGAAGACAGGGCGATGCTCATTCATGTCCAGCACACGGACGTAGGCCTGCAGTTTGGAGATGGAAGACACAGGGTTTAAGAAAATGGATGCTCAGCATGAACAACATAAAATATGGAAGGCAGTGCTTCAAAAGCTGCCTCACACGCGGTATCTGATCCGTAGCCGCCTGCAGGATTTCAAATTAGATTCTAAACAAGCCGGAGATTTTGAAAATGAAATGAACACGTAAATAAAGTTGCAGGATGTTCTCGTTTGATGCTGCTGGTGCATCGCAGTGGGATGGTGTGCACAGTAATTTTAAGGGGCCATCACACTGACAGTTTGTTTTTTTCTTTGATCTCAGATATTCTGATGCTCTGTTGTATCAGTTCATATTCATACTAAACAACTCCGAGCTAACTGTGGCTTTAGAAAGAAGAAGAACAACAACAAAAATCGCAGGCTACTGTTAAATAAATATACAAACACACCACATGGCAGTAAACAAATGTTAGCCTTAGAAATGCCAGAGAATGAAAAACCCGAGGCTAATCAGTGGTTTGAATCCCAGCTGGGTTAACAAACCTGGAGGAAGTTACATATTTTATTTCATTCATGTTGTGTGTCCTGTGAGATACCTGGCGGTCTTATCTCGCTGTGGTCACTTTGTTTTTACAAGTACACCTGTGTATGTGCTTTTTCTGGCTGTTTGAATCTGGAGAAATTGGTACAATCCATTATTTCTGACCTGCGTGGTGGCGCTGTGGTGGCCGTCGGTGACCCGCACCGTCAGGTTGTAGTTGGAGCGTCGAGCCGCATCGAGCTGGCGGGCGATGGAGATGGTTCCCGTGTTCCTCTGGATGTCAAAGTCTTTTTCTTCATCACCACCTGAGAGAGAGAGAGAGAGAGAGAGAGACAGATGAGGGAAACAGACAGACACACAGGTTTATTCCGTCAGGTGCTGAAGCTACAGTCTGTGGTGTTATGGATCGGATCGGGCCATGTCCAGCTGTCACCTGTAATATCTCAGATGATGTGTCAGACTCTCCAGGTCTGAGTTTGACTGGTTGCAGGAATGATGCATGTTGGCATCGTCCTCCAGCATCTGAAGAATCACAGAGATTTCCCTGAAGGGGCCAGTAGTGGCCGTAATTAATGATCCACTGTCTAACTTTGAAAGACCCAAACACCTTCAGCATCAGTCCGAGGGGAGAGAAAACACTGAGGGACGATACCAGTACCTATTCATCATACCACTTTTTCTTTTTTTTCTTTTTTCTCATAGATACTGGCAATTATGAGCGGTTGCATAGCACATGTTTCTATTAATCCTGAGCCAACATTAAGTACAAGTTCTAATCTTGTCTTGTACCGGGCTAATTGTAAAACAGGCTGTTTGGTAAAAATTGTTTGGACAGTGTTTCTGGTAAAGTTACTGAATGAAAATAGAACAAAAACAGAGAAGAACTGAGACAGTGAGAGAGAAAAACAGACTTTCTTTGCTTCATATGAATCCATCCATCATGGTGGGACATTTTGATGGCTTATTTACAGACAGAGTTGAGAAACCAACCGAGACATGCAGACCGGGCCGCGGCGTCGGCGACACCTCCTCTGTTTACCTGTCTCACTGCATGTTTGTGTTTTAGTTTCTGTTTAACCTTGATTTCTTTCTGTTTCCTGCCAAAAAAATAATAATAGCGGTGGGTGAAGTAGGGTTACGAGGGAGGAAGGAAACCAGCGAATGTAAATCAATTAATGGTAACGGCTCATGTCACAAAACTTTATTTAAAACTTCGTAGGTTCTTGTGAAAACATCACAGAACCGAGGTTTAGTGTGAAGAGTTGTGGGAAGGTTTACGATGTATACCTACAGTGTTGGTCCATGTTATCGATTCTGTTTTAGACTGCAATCATTCTCCTGAACAGTTTCTTTTATTATCTGCAGCATCAGAAACGTCCACTGCTTTAACCATTCAGTTTTATTTTATAAAGTCTTGTCTAAACTGCCACTGCTTTTATTAAATGTTTTTACTTCATTCTAACTCATTTTTATATCTTATTGTATACTTCTATATTCATCTTTTGCATGGTTTTGTTTCTCTTGTCTTTTTGCCTTATTACGCAGTCGATCATGTTTATGTAATTGTGGACAGCCGGAATCCTGATCCGGTTACTATTTGTTTGATTTGGCAGCCTTAGCACCACATAGGCTATTGTAATTGTAGTATTTGGTTGGTATTTCTGTGCCTGCACCTGCTCTTTACTCTTTACCATCTCAGTCGGGACTTCTCCCTCGCCTCCAGCTATCCTCATTGTTCTTTAAATAATTAGCTGTAGATCACTTCACTAGTGGAACGCAGTACCAGTGAAATGTAGAGAGGCTTTGACTGAATTACTGAAGAATAAAATCGACTACTTCCAACCACAATAGTGAACACAGTACGGCAGAGTTTTGAAAACTCTATGTTGCTTTGCGACTTTCCCAAACATTGTGCTGAACCCACAGCAGCTCATGTTGTATCATGTCATGAAAACCTAATTATATCGGGTACGGACGACGTTATGCTTGTGTGATAACATTTTCAGGTCTGTATGTGAAAGACGGAGGAAGCCACTGTTTGTGGGCTACTTTAGAGCCTCACGTTCAACATTTAGCAACTTTTTTGGCTTTTCAGATGTGATGAACAAGGTTTGGATTTGACTTACGACTTTATGACAGTGACTTGTCAATCACAGGGTAGCCCCGCCCCAAAACATCTCCTGCTTTATAGTCAGTTTTACTGTAAATGGGACCATAACTTACCCAATAAACACCGTGCTGGTGTCAAACTAGTGACTGAGACCGTAAAGCCATGAAATACGTAGAGATGAGAGAATGGAAAAGGGGAGACGTTGGCTCATTTTCTCATCGACTTCTACACAATCTGACTTATTTTTGCCACCAGAGGAGTCGCCCCCTGCTGGCTGCTAGAAAGAATGGTTCACTTTTCAGACGCGGCGACTACGTCCATCTTTCTTGAAACAGTCTGCGGTTGCACTACAATGACATTATGGGCTGTCTGTCCTTTAGCCTCTATCTTATTATGTTGTGTGCGGCTGAGCGCTCTGTTCTCCGGCTGGTCAATGTCAACTGGAAGTTGCCACAAGATGGGGGGAAAAAAAGCCTATCTTTTCATTGAGACAGATGAGACACCTCACAACAATGACACATCGGCTGTTGTCAACTATAGTACATCACAAGTGATAAAACATGTTTCAGTGCTGATAGCATGTAGCCTGAACCCAGCATCATCCAGACTCACAGCTGATGGGAAGACTGAGCACGAGCATCACTGCAGAGCAATATTTTCATGAGATGGTGTTTCTAAAAGCATGAATGAGCATGTGGATGATGTAATGTACACTCAGTTTCCAGTTTATTAGGTCTGCCTAGCTGTGACTGATGCAATAAATCCCCCCTCTTGAAGCTTATAATGTGCAATTTGTGTTGAGATAGTTTCTGGGAGGCGTTAACTCAACTTTATGGTCATTTTGAAGGCTGCAGCTGAATTTATTATTGTTTTACACTGTCAGGTGTTCTTTTTATTTTGTCCACTTACGTTTCTGGCCACAGCAGAGGGCAGTGATGCATATTTGGCAGTAATATGTTGTAAAAACTGCCAGTGATTGACAAATAAAAGAAGCTAAATGGACAGTAAATTGATAAAAAATACAGCTTTGATGTGTTTAAAATGTGCAAATGTCGGTTGATAGGGAATGTACTCAGTGTTAACTACAAACTCCACAAAGCTCCAAACCTTTACGTGACAATTTCTGGGTTCTGGATTTGAAAAGATGACTTACAGATGTCCAATACATCTAACTAACAGGTGTTCAGAGGAGAGTTTGCTTTTTAATATGCACAACACTTATCCGATTCTTAACTTCAAATGTGTTTGTTTTTCCTCTTTCCTTTGTCCCAAATTACCTAATTTTGCAGCATTCTGTACTTTTGCATTGATCCTGACTCAGACCATCTGTTTTATTTTATTTTCCATCCTCTGCTTCCTTTATCCTCTCTTCCTTTTCTGTCTTGCGTTCCTCTCATCCCTTCCTTTCTTTATCTCTTGCATCTTCTCGCTCTTTATCCTGCACTCCCTTGTTTTTGTCTCTCTCTCTCTCTCTCTCTCTCTCTCTCAGCAGGTTGTGTGTACGTATGTGAGAAGGGTAAACCTCATGCCTGCTCAGCCAGATGGTGTTTATTAAGAGATCCACCTTGCAAGGAGCTAAACACACATGCACACACATATACACTTACGTCGTTGTATCATGTGAGGCCGCATTCTGTCACTGCTTCATCTTAGTTTTTGCATTTAAGTGAGAAGTGTATTGGTCTGTTAGCATATTGTTGTTTATCTTACGCTTACATTATCTACAGCTTGTTCTATTTTCTGTACTTAGGGACTGCCACACCTCTCTGTTCATAGTCTAATTCCATCAGTGCTTCAAAATCTGACCCTCTCAGAATCAACTGTATTTTTTTGTACAATACCTTCAATATAACAAATGAAGCCAGGCGATATATTTATAGGACTACAGGCCCTCAAAGTACATTTTTTTACAGCATGTCTGAGCCCACAAATGATGCAATTTTGCCACCTGACACTTCCCGGTGCCGGGGAAATGATCATGCAGGATTTAGCAACGGTTTATTTGCTTGAGTAGATAGAATCCCACATTTTACTTTGTGAAGTGTCAACATATGTTGATATTAGTTAATAATGTTGACACAGAAGGAATGATAGAGGCTAGAATATGAGCCTGGCGTCAAAACACACATAATGAGACCTTCCATCTGCTATCACTTGTTCTCATCAACCACCCATCCCACATGGTGATTATGACTCCTGAAATTTTACCCAAAAGGCATTTTTTTAAAAATTGGTTTCCTTCAGTGAATTATCAGAAAATGGAAAAGACATCCAGGGTACCAACACTTTTGTAATTATGATTTATCCCATGACACTGATGTTATGACCAAAGTGCAGAACAAAAACCTGATTCTGACTTTAGATTGTGACACCTCAAGTGGATCCATGAGGCTTGTGAGGGTTTGTGTGTATATGTAACGATGATACACATTACTTCTGCATCTTGGATATTCAAATTTCTTGCATGCTTACATACACTGTTTATGCTGTTAATATTGCTGAGACATTTTACACTGCAATGCACTTTCACTGCTTCCTCTGGTTCGATGCTAATCTGCATTTTGTTGTCTGAGTAAATATACTCTGTGCAACGACAGCCAAGCTCAATCTAATCTAATTTCACCTAAAAGAAAGTTGGCATAAAGCACTGATACATCATTCCGACCTCTTCTTTTTCCCTCTTGTCTTTCCTTACATTGCACAAACGCTCCGCTCTCTATTCGTTGCCGATCGATAGATAATTGGGTCATACAGAGGTCTATCTCTGTCAGTTACGCCTTAATGACTAAGCTGAAAGACTGCACACTAACCCACCACATTGACAGGTCTGTGGAACTGATTTAGAATTTTTAAATCCCTGGATTGACTTCCTGTAAGATGCATTTCAGAGGAAAAAAGGAAAAAAAAAAAAGGATCCGACACAGCATCCACATCGCCGGCTGCCGTCTCAGCGCATGGAGAGGAAGATGTACTGTAAAAGCAATTTTTCACTTTACTGATCATCTCCAGGAAAAAAAAGAAAAGAAGAAAAAAGATATCCCTGTCAAGGCTGGAGGCTGCTTTCCCCACGAGGTCAGTCATACAAAATGTGTCTTTTACTCATGGTACTCAGTGTACGCCACAAAAAAAAAAAAGTTCCACAGGTACAAAGGAATGCAGGACTCTCACTCACATATTCTATCTATCCATCGACCC